CCGGCGTGGGGAAGAGGAGGGACGTCACCTTTTACCAAAGGCCATGGTAATTCACCTGGCCAGCACAGCACAGGCCTCACCTGCTGGTACTTGGAGATGGGGTAGAGCAGCCTGGTGTCCAGCTTGGCGTTGTACTGGGCGAGTGACTCATGGCGGTAGTGGGTGGTGAGGTTCACCACCGCGCCGTGGTCAGGGGCTCCGAGAAGCCGTACTTCCCCTCCCGGTGAAAGATCTTGATCAGCTTGTTATTGCCTCCCTTCCTGTGGTGAAGGGACAGGAGAGGACACTGACCACCACGTTACAGCCCCACACCCCGTCATCCAGGCAGCTGTGAGCACAGGGACACCCCAGAGCAGTGGAGGCTCAGGGGACCCCAGCGCCCTACCTGAGCGTGAGGGTGTATTCCCCCTGGATCTTGCTGGAGGCATCACGCACCAAGAAGGTACCATCCGGCGTGTCCCGTAGCTTCTCGTTCACCTCCTCCCTGCAAGGAACGTGATTGTTACGGCCTGTGAGATGCCACCAGGGGACTCGATGGACAGGACACCGAGGATGCGGGCTGCCAGCCGTGCCCTACCGTGAAATGTCACCCCAGTACCACTCGGCGTCCTGCAAGGACACGCTGCTCCCGTTGGCCAAGCTGGCTGCGCTGGGCTTTGGCTTAGGGGGTTTTGGAGGCAAGGCTGGAAGGGAAGGATTGAAGCAGGGTGAGCCCAAGTTCCAGCTCCCCATAGGCAATCCCTTGGAGCTCTGAGTCTGCCTCCCGGCAGTGACTCTCTTGGGAAGCCCCCTTGGCCACCGCACTGCTGGGAGCTGCTCCAGGCACATCTACAGCAGCAGATGAACGCCTCGAGGTGGGCTCCGGGCACACCTGTGCTCCGGGCACACCTGGGCTACAGAAACGCCCTCAGCAACCCACTCACGGGGGCACAGACTCCACAGCCCCAGAGCACAAACTGCCTGAGGCCCCAAGGAAGGGTCATCTCAGTACCTGGAGGCAACTGTTCCAGCTCCAACTCCTTCGCCTGCAGAAGCATCTCCAAGAACAGCACGGAGAAGTCAGGGCTCAGCTCTGGGCTGCAGGGAGAGAGGAGCCAAGTAAGAACAGCAGTTCTGGGGGGGAAACCTGGCACTGCTCCCGTGCTCCTTGGGCAAAGGGGCAGCCGGTTCATCCCAGCTGCCAGATCCCAGGCTGACACAGAAGCCAGTCCCACCTCTGTGTGCTGCCAGCAGCCTAATCCCACGTGCAGCGAGGCAGGGGATGCGGGCCGACCTGCTGGTACAGACC